GGTTGTCTTCTTCTTTACTTCGTTCAGTTGATAATTGAAGTCTTCCTATTAAATTAATTTTACCTCGTTTTTGCAGTTTACCATTTTTCCTAAGAATTAAAAAGAATTAATTATATATATTTTGAGTAAATTAAATTATTGCGCGATTTTTCAAAAAGTATTACTAACACTATAGCGAATTCTTGGTTCACCCAAAATCGTGTATCATTTGCAAAATCTTTGGGACTATGCGCATGTGGTTCAACCAGAAGAAGTTGACGTTTGAGTTTTGGAAAGGCACACAAAGACCATAAAGTTCGTCTGAGTTCCGGATCAGGAAGTTCTGTTGCCAATCGCAAATTTTCATATGATATCTTTTCAAACGGCCGCTGATTCCAAGCAAATAAAACTGCCATTTGAAATGTTGTTACATCCACATCAAAGCGTCCCACTTGGTTAGAAAATGTTATCTGGAACACCATCCAAATTGGTTGCAAGGTGAAGCTGAAAATTAGAACCGAGATATTGAATTTTTTGAAAAATTTTACTCTATACCCATGTTTACTGCTTCAGAAAAATTTATGTTATTCTGCTTTAATAAACATATACATAGTTTCTGATCGAAACTTAACACTTAACACTTTTATGATTATGGCCAAAAAATTTCCTTTTTAAATCATAACAATACTTAAAAGGATATAAAAATATCTTTTTCTAATATTTTGTTTACAAGACATTTTCTTTCTTACCGTGCCATTAGACATATGATGGTACCACTGTAATTTTCTTCCACTGTGTTTTTTTTTATAAAATTCTTCTACTTCAGGAATATAATCTTCCAGTTGCAGTGGTAAACTTACGGTGACACGTTCACTACCTCTAGCCCAAGCACCTGCATTTAATATCTATAACAAATTATATTAATGCCTTTTAATATATATGTTTCACAATATATAAACCGAAATATTATTATAACATCTTAACTCATACCTTAATGTTAATACTATCTGCAATAGCAGCTCTACATTGCTCTTTAAATTGTTGATTTAGATCTTGTGACACTTTAATGTCTTGAAACATTCGTGCTAATTTATTAACATAATCAGCAGGCATTCCGACTTCACGAAGCCATTCTACCATATTTTCCTCTTTCTCAGAATCAGCGGATGTATCTAATATTAAACGCCTTGTTAAATGAGCTTTATGATAGCGCATAAATACATCCTTATTTTGAACATATTTTAACACTAATAACTAAAATAAAACCAATATAAGATAAGTATGAGATAAAATGATTTTAGATATTAAAAATATAATAGTAATATATATAAGTTAAGGTGCATACTACATCTTTGAGTTTGCTTTCAATTTCATCAGAAGTTAATTTTTTACTGAGTGGTGTTTTCCTAAGTAACATATCACAATAATTAGCTAGAAGTTCTGGACACTTTGATTCTGGCTGTCCATTATTATTGTTGTTGGGTTTATTATTTAAAATCGTTGTACCAATACCAGAACACTGACGTGCAGGTAATTCTAATCTGAATACCGTTGCATCATTTACAACAAGTTTGTAAGCTTTATCTCGAGCAGTTAGAAATCGAGGATCATCATCAAATGCTTCTTTAACAAGAATTGAAAACCGACGAAAAAGATCTAATAATCTTTCAACGTATTTTTCAGAATCTTGAGTAATAACATCCACAGCTGCCATCATATCAGCTAAACCTGCACTTGCTATATGTTCTTCTAAATTTCTTAACATTGGACCAACTCCTTCAGGAACTCTATCCATTAGTTTTAGCATTAACCTAAGTTCTATAATTGTAATTCATTTTATACCATTACAAAAATGCTATTATAAAAATATAATTCAAATTACATTATACTCACTATCTGTTTGACGATGCTGAATCATTCGCGGACATTCTGCTAATATGGCTGGCTTAAAAGTTGCCACTAATACACGTACGCAACAATCAGTTAAAAGCTGTACACTAGCACTGTTTGGTTCTAAGTATTTTTGGGCACGAAGTTCTTCTTCTTGTAACTTTGCATCAGCATAACGCATATAATTTTCTACACCATGTAATGATAGCTGTTCAGGTGCTTTAACCCAGTAGAATGCTTCTGTTGCTTCTATATATGCTGCTTCAAAATTCTCTCTATAGATTTGAAGCTTATCAATTGCATTTGAACATAAATTTACTGTAATGTAATTCAACACAACTTTAAATTTATAAGATGTATAAGGAGATAATTTATATAAACAAAAATTTGTTATATACCATAAGATTCTCTAACACCAATAACAAGTTGTGAATCAAAGGCTTCACCATTTCTTTCAGCACGAACAAGTCTCATAGCTGAATCTTGAAGTTTTTGTTTTATTTCTCCAAATATACTTTGATTCCAACTATCCAACATTAGCTATAATAAACAAAAAAATGTATATTATGGAATTATATTATCGAAAAATTAAAAAAAAGAACTTTACTTTTCTAACAATATCATCAGGTTGGCTTTTTTTTTGAACACTGGATGGTGCCTTTCCAGCAAGAGACGTTTCTAATTGTCTAAATGGTGTTGGCAAATAATTACATTGTGCAAAAAATTTTCTCCATTCAGCTATATATGCTTTCAATAAAGCTTGCTCTTCTTGGTGTGCTAAAACTCTCTAGAAAGTGCATAAAACAATAATATTTTTCTGTTGATAAAAATATTTTTTTTGTATTTATAAATTATAATATGTACCTGCTGAGCTTGTTTTATAAAATCCATTATGTCTTCTTTGAGCGCATCTAATAATTTAAGAGCACCTTTGTCATTCCATACACATACTGCATGAACTAAGAAGAATAAATCTTGCCATTCTGCTTGAGTAACAGGTTCTTGTTTGAGTAATTTCAAAATAGTTGGTCTCATACATGGCCATTTATCTTCAAACATAAACTGACTTTTATCCTAAACACATAATTTAGTACAAAATTAACTTTAATTTTATGTTTACATACTAAACTCTTATTATTAACACGAATATTATCTTATTCATTGTGCATTATTTTTTTTATCAAACATAAAAATTAAAATATATGTACAATACCATCTATGAAAATATTTTTATTAACTAATGATTTATAGTTCTACTACATAATTGAAAAACTAGTATCTAATTGTTGAAAAATAACAATATCTAAGTTAATCATTAGTATACTGTATTAGTATACAGTAATATTGCATGAATATTTTCAAATATTTTTTATGTACAATTTTATAGATATTTATATATACGTTAAAGTTCAAAACGTTCTTTGACAATTGAAACATTGTATAGGTTATAAAGATTTATATTATATTATCGAAAATAAAACAATAAAACAAAAATCTTATAAATTTAAGAAGTTTGAAAGATCATTCTCAGATTTATTCCTCAGTATAAATTGATTTTAAATACAAATATTATTATTCAATGACAACTAACCATCGGCACCTTCGCATAAAGTTTTGACATGTCCTATACCGCAATGAGTCTACGCCAATGAGTACAAACAATAGGTATTACAGTGAACAGTACTGATTAATTATAATAAGGATTGTTTTAAACGTCAATTTATACTTTAATAGATGTTTATTTTAACATTAAAGTAGATTTTACATTTATTTATCGCGATATATCATATATATTTAAAAAAAAGATGATACATATATACATACCATTTTTTCTAAGGAAGAAACGTAATACAACATAATACATACATATAGTGTACTATAATGTAATACTATAATGAGAGACTCTAATAAATGTAAAATAGTAAAAACATATATATATACAGGTAGATAGATCACATGTAGGAATGTTAAATAGGTTAAGGAAAAAATAAGAGGAATGTAAGATGTAGAAGATAAATGTAAAACCAAGTTCATTTCCTCTTATATATAAAAAGTTCACATTAATTTTTGTATACAATACAAAATTAATGTCTTTTATATATGTTTCCTTATTATTTAAAACGCTGTTTTTTAAACATTGTGCAAGAACTTCACAGTTTTTGTACTTTTAGTATTAGAAAATTTCGAATAAAAGACAAATATTTTCTTAATGTATAGCTTTTATAGCACTGATTGCAATGTATGTATATTAAAGCGATGTAATAATAAAACAGTATATATATATGTATTAAAGCGCAAATTTATATAAAACGTTATTCAGAAATTAAGTTTTCTAAACGAAAATAATATATAATTATAGATGAAAAGTAGCGTTATTTAAATGCTGCACAAAATTTAAAAAAGTAATTTTTCATCTACGTATAATAAAATTATATTTTACATTAGAAATGTATTTTAAATTTATATTGAACTATTGACATTCTTTTATATTATATTTCTTAAACTTAATTTCAAAATTAAGAACATTTTATTTTGTATTTGGATAATTTATGATGCCAAGTTATTTATTATGACATCTGAATTGTGTGAAATGAAAAATGTACATTTTAAAGGAATAATTTTATATTATATTATATTAAATTCATTTTGTTATTTGATAGATAATCGACGTAAATATTTAAAACGGCCAATCTTTAAGATAATGTTAAAGAAAAGTTAATACTTTTCTCGGCTCTTAATGACTTATTATATCATTCTAACACTCTATTTTTTACATTTAAAGTCAGTAACAAATGTTATAAGTACACGTGGAATTAAACTTGGATATGGTTAGCTAAAAAGAGGGGAGTAAACATCTATTATTTATATATATTTATAGAAATGAAGTTGTGTTAACGTTTTTCTGGGTATAGATGTGAATTGAACATTTTGAAATCATATTCATTATTATTATGTAAATAATGGTAAATTAAAAATCTACAAACATTATAATTTAAATATATTACTATAAGATTTATTTGCTACATACTACATATTCCACATTCTTTATTAGAAATTTTACATTTAAAATTATGACATTTAATAAATGACTATTTAATGACTATTTAATAAATAGTTAAATATGTATTACAATAATTAAACTAAAAAGTTAGTAAGAAAAATACATGTCTGTGGCAGCGTGATTGTAGTCACGTCACGTTAAGATTACAGGTCGTCTGCTACAGATGAGATAAAACATTCCAGATGTGTGAAATACCGTTATACTTTAGCTTGACTTAAATATGTAATAGAATAAAAAATATAACACTTGTATAAATGTAGGTGGATTTGTGTATATTTAATAGAGGAACATTTAATGGAACAACATTAATCAATAAGCAATACAATGAAAGCATCAATAAAGTTTACTTTTGACAGGGTAATTTACGTTTCTGGTGGCACGTAGTCTAGTCGGTGTTATAAAAGGAGGAAACCTCGGTTAGTACCGCGGTGACGTACGATAACTATTATCAATTAGAAAACGTGATTGATAGGTATACCAGTGAATTTAATTATGAAGTGCGAAACCAGTGAAAATATGCTCGGCATATTAATATTATTTGCGATGTGTTTACCTTCTATTGTACATTCCAATTATTTTGGAACGAACAATGAAAAGAATGATCAATGCTTCTGTAAGGTACTATTCTCGTTGTTTTCCCGTTATTCAACTTTTTTCATAAAAAGTAAACATAACCTACAATCAAATCTGTCAACTTTAACATATGTGAATATATGTTATCTTATATTATCTTTAACTTAATATCTTTTTCATAACTTTAAGTTATTAAATTATGTTTATAAAAATTTAGTTGAAGGGATCAATTGATGACTGCAGTTGTAATGTGGATACAGTGGATTACTTTAATAATATGAAAATTTATCCAAGAGTTCAGAGTCTTCTAGTCAGAGATTATTTTCGCTTTTATAAAGTAAATTTAAAACAAGAATGCCCTTTCTGGGCTGATGATAGTAAATGTGCTATAAGATACTGTCATGTGCAACCTTGTCAGGAAGTAAGTATTTAATATGATAGTTTGATTTATATGCAAAGATATTACAATATCATTTTATACAAATTGTTGAGATTTATGTATATTATATATATTTTTATACTTGTAGGAAGACATTCCAGATGGTTTAAAAGGAGATATGTTAAAGAACAGTCATTTTAATGAAAGTCCTGCGGATAAATACAAAGCTTCTATACAATATGATGATTGCTTACATAGGACTAAAGATCATAATAAAGAACTGGGCTATTTAAACACAACAATTAGGTAAAAAAGAATATTTCTAGCACATTCATAAATAGAATTATTTATAAACAAGATTTCAAATTCATTTTGATGTATTTTGTTTAGTTCAGAGAACTACAAAGATTTTGAATTATGGAAACAATATGATGATGCTCAAGATAATTTTTGTGTGAAGGAGTCTAGTCCTGGAGAATATGTGGACCTTTTGCTAAATCCTGAAAGATATACAGGTTATAAAGGACAGAGTGCACATAGGATATGGCGCAGTATTTACAAGGAAAATTGTTTTAGGTAAAAATATAAGTTAATGATAAAAAATGAAATAGATATTAAAAATTGCTGCATTTTATATTTATATACGTATACTTAATTTCAGACCTGAAAATTCGCCACATAATTTTATTCAATCTTCAAAAATAAATGGTGAATAGTTTTAATTCAATAGTATACTAATAATATATTTCAAAATATACATTGATTTTATTGTGATATATTATAATTTGTAGGGATGTGTCTGGAAAAAAGGGTATTCTACCGTGTTATATCAGGGCTTCATACTAGTATTAATATTCATTTGTGTTCAAAATACTTGTTGACACCAAAAGACAATTTAGAGATAGTGCCTGGTGGCCGATGGGGCCCTAATTTGCAAGAGTTCCAAAAAAGATTTTCACCAGAGGAAACAGGAGGTGAAGGTCCAAATTGGTTAAAAAATTTATATTTTACTTATCTGCTTGAATTAAGAGCTTTGGCAAAAGCTGCACCATATTTGGAAAGAGAAGAATATTACACTGGTAACAAAGCACAAGATAAAGATACCCGTTTGGCAATGAATGATATTTTAAATGTTGTTAAGTAGGTATTAGTCTTAACTAATCAATTATATTAATTTATAACTAATGAATTGATGCTTATAGATTTAATATTAATGTGTTTTAGATCATTTCCTGATCATTTCAACGAAAGCGTTATGTTTACTGGTGGAGCTGAGGCTCAGTTATTGAAGGAACAATTTAGACAACATTTTAGGAATATATCTCGTATTATGGACTGTGTAGGGTGCGATAAGTGTAAACTTTGGGGAAAACTTCAAACGCATGGTTTGGGCACAGCATTAAAAATTCTATTCTCAGGAAAATTTGACAGATGGGAATCAACATTAAATAATTTTAATAGAAAGAAATTCTTCTTAGAAAGAAGCGAAATTGTTGCACTTATAAACGCTATTGGAAGGTAAGCAGAACAATTATGCTTTTTATATTTATTCTTATTTTTATCATCGTTATATTAAGCTTTTATATGTAAATGTCATCTTTTAAGGTATTTTGCAGATTATATAAGGAGAAAAATTATTATCAGAAAATATAATTAATTATTTTGTAATTTTGCAGATTGTCAGAAAGTATCTTCGAGTTGGATAAATTTAGACAAATGATGAGATAGCAGAATACAGACTAACAATCAGATGATTAAGTTACTTTGGTAAAATACATCACACAAATCTTTATATTTATATAACCCTTGATTATTTAGATTTATACATTTAATTATATAGTAACTTTATAAAATAACTGATTTTTGTATCAGTTATAAATTATTTAAAAATTTTATATTTATACTTAAAATGTGGTATAAAATCGCAATAAAAATTATTACATTTAACGCGTAATCTTTTTTATATCTTTTATTTATAATTAGAATTAGTTTAATATTAATAAGAAAAAGAAGAACTATCATTGAATAAATATAATGTTGATTGAATTATTAAAAAAGTGTCAAATTTCATATGATTGCACTTTGTTATTTTATTGCGATTTTAATGATAACTTAACTCTATCTGTGATAAATATTTCTTCTATAGAAAAGATTCTTGTACCAGTTTTGAAACAGCATATAGCATATTCAGTTTCGAAAGAACTTTCATTTATCGAATTCATAAAATGTTCAAATTTTCTTACTGATATATACACAAGTATTTCAAACTTTAAAAATTATAGCTTGTCTTTTTACATCTACTTTTATTTTAATAAAAATTGTTATCAATGTAACCATTAGTATGTTATTCTATTTACAAAGATAATGTTGGTTATTAAGGTTCTACAGGCAAATAGACTGTAACGTTTGAGGTTCAATAAGATATTATAAAAGTCGTCCAAGATAAATCAATTTTGTATAATATTGTGTACATTTTTTGAAAAATGTTTTTATAACGAAGGCGACAGAAGGTTCCACATTATTTTCCGACAAATTTACATACAAAGAGAAAACACCAGTGTATTATATTTCTATATACTAATTCATAATAGTTTATAAAATATTTAATATTGTTGTATATAGGCGTAAATTTAATTTATTGTCGCTAAATTATACTACTTGCGGATTATAAAATAACGAGTTAACAGCGTATTAAGTTATGGATTACAAAAATGTATTAAATGATAAACTTTTTCCATTACATTTATTTATAATGAATATAATTTATCTAAATAGGTCGTATATTATACGAAAAATTTAAAATTCTATTATGAATTCCTTACATGAAAACTATAACATGAATTTGATTATAGTGTGGAAGAATGTATATTTTATATACAGATATGAATTAGTGTGGTGTGTCTAATTTTTACGGATTTATTTATAATCTAAAGTAGCAAAATTATTATGTAACCTGCTTATTTCTAAGAAAATATAACACGTTTCATTTCAGTAGAAGATTTGATACATGCGATTATAAAAGATAACGAAGTTTCGAATATAATATGAATTACAATACCATCAATATTTTATGTATCGTAAATTATTTATATCCCCCCTCTTAACGAATATCATTCCTGCGTGTATGGTTTAACGAGTAAGGCTTTTTTCTCGATTTCTTATCGTTAGTTTTTAACCATATATACATATTTTCTAATATTCTTTTAATAAATCATTTTCTAATTATTAGCAAGCATTTTGTAATTTCTTATTCCGTTTTATTTTAACTACAAGGCGAATCTCCGAGCGAATATTGGTACGCAGAGTACGGTGTAATATCAACGTACCGAGTCGATAATCTTCTCGGATAACAGACACCTAAGCGTCTGTTATCCGAACCCATTGAACCGCGAAAACAGTCGAGAAAGATCGTTGACCACCCTGGCGACGATCTCGAAGAACGATTCAGGTGTTTTATGATAATTCATATTCTAATATTTAAGTATATTCGATCGAGTATTCTTATTATCGTCGCATTTGTGTTGCAACCAGCAATGTTTATAGAATCTAGTATTTTCGAATAAATTTATAAAGACACGTTTCTTGTCATAACCCAATACTTACGATAATTTAACAATTAATTTAACAATTATCGGACTTGAAAGTGAAATTTTATCTATCAGCTCGCGTACTGAACAAATTTTCAAATTTGATTTACCAAGATTACAGCCTTATTCTTAATTTTCGTCTTACTTTCAGCCATAGAATTTTTTTCACTTCAACTGTACCACGAATATACGCCTTCGGTGTATCGTGATCCTAAGAGACTCGCACAATCGCAAGCTCGAAGAATATGTTGTCGATTAATTTCTCGAGTAAGATATATAGACGCGAGTAAAATAACTTTCTTTTTTCGAGACGTCAAGAACATTACCGTCTATCCTGTCATTTTATTCTTTATCGCATTTCCGGGCCGTATTATGTCTATGGTATTCGTATGCCATGTAAACAAATACTCCATATCACGAATTGTCATCAGGCACCTCGGTCAGCCGTCTTGTGGGAGGCAGATACGTGTGCAGGGCTCAGTCGATGGATCGTACGTCAAAACGACCGCTTCAAAATATTTCCTTTTGATTAGCGCTACACGATCCTTCTAGGATCGCCTCGGGGCTGCGATGGATCTCGAGCACGAAAATGTCATATCCGTAAAAACGAAATCGTGTGTCGTGCTATCGGTAAGCAGAGTATAAGACCTTTGAGATGCGAAATTTAAAGTATTATGCTCCGTTTATCGTTGGTGCGCCACGAAACGAGCATCGCTTGGACCTCGACATGGTAATTTTTTCACAACAGTTTCCGCGCGCTGACTTCCGCGATTCCCATATTCTAGCATAATATTGTCGGGCTGTGAAGTGGCATTATGCTAGGAATATGTGGTATCGTAAGTTCATCGTAATCTTCCATTTAAAAGAAATTAAGATAAATCACTGTTCGTTCTTGAAGACTTTATAGCTTAAAAATTAATCGGTATTTGGATGTTCTTCAACATCGAGGAATCGTAGTGTTCTTAATGTGTATAGCTAATCAGTCGATTTGTTTCTATTTATCTTCGCTTGATGCAATTCGAAGAGCGGCGGTTATTTATATACCGCGATTTACGAATACAAAATGACGGGGTTATCGTTCGAGTCATGCAATTTTTATTTTTTTTAAACATCTTTGACGAATGCTGCTACGAGAAGCATTAGTTACGTTTGGAGGTTTGTCGTGAAATTATATATCGGATTTGCGTTTGAAATGCGCGTGGCAGTGGTGGGCGCCGGTGTGATCGGCATGACAAGTGCGTTCGCGGTGAAAAGCAGTTTTCCACAATTCGAGGTGCAAATATTTTCGGATAAATTTTCACCAGCTACCACCGGCGACGGAAGTGCCGGTATATGGAGTCCTTATCTTCTCGGAAACACTCCTTCTGACAAAATATCGTGAGTATTTAGTATTTTGAGCTACTGAGAGCTGTCTCTAGCTGGAAAAGTGAACTATGTACGTAACTCGAATGTACTATGTTAAAATTCATTATGACGAAATCAAAGAGAAAGGATCGGTGAAGTTTGATCCTCGGTGAAACAGCGAAGGTTGACTTATGCAAATATTTTACGGTTATTACTCTCCGAGTTACGTTTTATTTTTATTTTTTAATTCAGTTATCACGTAGAGGTAAGCAGCCTTTTTTAATTGACCGTGTTCACTTAATCGCTATAAAATAAAGCGTTCGACGATCGTGACAGCAATGATCCAGCCTCCGCTGACGAGGGTTAAGCGTAATTTATATTCGTTTTACAACTGCACTATACGCTAACAGACAATGGAGTGAAATCACGTATCGATGGTTGGAAAACTTTTGGAAAGCGGGCTTGGCTTCTGAAATAGGACTCTCCTTGATACCGATGTACCGTGTTACCAGTAATCCCGATGGTTTCCTCGATCTAGCCTGGACGAAAGTGGTGTACGGCGCGTACGAACTAAATCCCAGTGAATTGGAGAAACTAAACGCAGAGTGGAATGCCAATTATAAGTACGGTATTAATGGAATTCACTTGCAATATTTCATGTCATTGTAATTAATTCGCGTGACGAATTATAGACACGGATGGATGTTCCTGACGTATACGTGCGAGCCAGTTAAATTGTTGCCTTGGTTAATGAAACGATTCCTCCAAATAGGCGGAAAACTACGAAACAGGAAAATTCACACGTTCAACGAACTAATCGACGATGGATACGATTTAATAATAAACTGTAGCGGCCTCGGTGCACGTAAACTCGTGGGTGATAACGCCGTGAAGTCTATCAGAGGTCAAGTTGCTAGGGTTGGTAGTTTTAGAGATTGATATACTACAGTATGAGATTTCCTTACGCATTGTATCGTTTAAGGTGACGGCATCCTGGGTAATGCACGGGTTATTGGTAGACGACGACGATGGCAATTACATAATACCGAAGTAACGAATTAAATCGAAGATATATTTCTAAGCGTTAATCGTACAACGATTTTGTATTTATTTATTTATAATGTCGACATTCTTTTTTCGAAAGCATCGACAGTGTAGTGTTGGGTGGTACGCACCAGGAGAACGATTTCGACCTCACACCACGAAAAGAAGACTCAGAATTCATTTATAACGGATGTGTGCGCATTTTACCTGCTCTGAAAGTATAGCTTTCTTAAAATTTTTAACTAAATCGAACACGTAATGACACGTAATTAATTATTAATCGTCTTTCTTCGAAGGGAGCTGAAATAGCGAAGGAGTGGGTTGGCCTGAGACCTGGAAGGTACCAAGTTCGTATTGAAGCTGAAGTTTGCAGGTCTTCTCAAGGCAGACAAGTTACGGTATCGAAAACAAAGCTGGATGAACGTGAAACGTATAAATTTTTCGATCAATTGAAACCTTTGTTGAAATGTGAACCTTTGCAGATAATACACAATTACGGACACGGAGGGAGTGGCGTGACGTTGTGCTGGGGCTGTGCTTTGAACGTTGTGAACATCGTAGAGAATACGACGAGTTTGAAATCGAATCTGTAAAGTCTTAGATAAGCGAAAGATAATAAAAGATCTTTTTCCAAAGAATATGCTACGTTTGTTACGTTAGGCAAGCCTGCGCGTGCTCGTGATAATCCTACGGCTGACAACGCTGTTTCATACATACGTAGCAAGTTTTCGTGATCCCTTTTGCGACTGCACGAACTTTGTAAAGCAACGTTGCGCCGTAATTAAAGTAACGAAAAGTTTCTCGAGCAAAGGTTTAACACGAGCTGCACCGCAGTAACCGTCGATTAATCCGCATTGTCGCATGCATTTTGCTTGAAAAGTCTTGCACCGTTTAAATTGAAATTAGGATACGAGGCTGCCTTCTTGCCTCGAGAAATGGAAAAACAATTGAGGCGAGGTGCGATGCGTGAAACGAGACGATCTATTTTGGAAAGGGCATTTCTGTAAATAGCATCGAATTTTGGTTTCTTGTACGTCAATAAATTGATCACAGTCGAATACCTTTTTCACCGAGGATATTATTAGTTTCTCGTTTGTCTAGGTGATCGGTCCCGCGTACGGAATAAAATTGACGGATCGAAGTATAATGCAGGTCTGGCTCGACATATGATCAAATTAAAGCCATGCGACGACAGTTCGTTTAGAATAATGCGATACGCCGGTCATGAACCTCATCGAACGCAGCAACAAACGTCCTTTGATGGTGGAGCGCGAGATCGAAGCCGGCGATACGAAGAAGAGTTACCCGATAAACAACGAGATCACCAGTGAATCTGATTCCAGTGCCGAAGTGCGATCATGTAAAACAGTGTATAGAAACCGGTGCAAGAAACTCGTGGTATCTGATACTTCGTTTAACGTTCTTCCATCTAACGATTCGACTAAAAATGATCGGGAACCGATTGCTTCTAAATGTTTCGCTGATAAAAAGGACGACAAAGGTATTTGTCCCTAAGCTTGCGCTTCGTGTAAACAGTTCTATTTATGTACACGATATTGCAGCAGATTTGTCGTTCGTGGAGACCGACGTGGAGTCGCGAAAGGAAGGAACTTCGATCAAGGCGAAGAAAAAGAAAAAACGGAGGTACAGTAGTTTGTTATCAAAGAAATCGAAAATATCATTCTTCGCTTTCCTCTTTGTTTTCTCGTATTTGTTAGATGTTTACGATTACAGATACTTGACAATATGCACGAGTAATTGCAAATACGACGCGGTGAGACGAGTGGCGGCTCGTTTCGGGATGAAAGAAGTTACCGAGGATAGCAGCTGGAACCTTTACTGGACAGACTTGAGCGTGAGCGTGGAACGAGCGAAAGATATGAAAAGATATCAGAAGGTCAATCATTTTCCAGGAATGACAGAAATCTGTAGAAAAGATTTGCTTGCTCGTAACTTGAATCGTATGCTGAGGCTTTTTCCAAAGGACTACAATTTCTTCCCCAAGACATGGTGTTTTCCCGCAGAGTAAGAACGTTCTGTCCTTTATCGAAGTAATTGATAGTATCATTAGAAGATTTACGTTATCTGTCGATCAAAACGTCTAGCCACGGAGAGGCAATAGCCTATGCTAAATTGAGACGCTCCAAAACTTTCATCATCAAGCCTGACACAGGCTGTCAAGGGCGCGGCATTTATTTGACAAAAAACTTAAAAGATGTTAAACCCAGCGAGCGAATGATCTGCCAGGTTTACGTGGCTAGGGTATGCATTTTCAACTTTAATCGTTCGTTTCTACTCTTCTTTTGGTGAAGATCATTCGTGTCTGTAGCCCTTCCTGGTGGACGGCTACAAATTCGATCTTCGTATCTACGCGTTGCTCACCTCGTGCGATCCCCTTAGGATTTACGTCTACAACGACGGTCTTGCGAGGTATATAGTCACCATTTTGCCTTTAATTAATCCTTTGAGACCTTTGCGACGTACGAAACTCGAGCTGTGCTGACGGTCGAGAGCAGACGTACGATCGTAAAGAGTGCAATGATTAAATTCGAGTTATTTATTCTGTACGTGCCGCGTTTCAGGTTCGCCACGAGCAGATACAAGGAACCAACCGGTCACAATACGTCCAACGTGTTTATGCACCTAACGAATTACGCTGTCAATAAGCACAGCCGAATGTATGTAATCGACGATGAAATTGGTAGCAAAAGGTTGGTGGTATGTTCTTGTAAGCGTCGTTTCGTTCAACCCCCTTCAGAATGACGAGAATCTTTCGTATGCAGGAAAATATCCACTCTGAACAAGTGGTTTAAGATGAAGGACGTCGACGTGGATGAACTATGGCGTAAGATCGATGAGATTATTATAAAAACGATTTTGGCAGCACATCCTGTTCTGAAGCACAGTTATCACACGTGTTTTCCAACTCACGATAAGACCTACGCTTGTTTCGAGCTACTGGGCTTTGACGTGTTACTCGATTGGAAGTTGAAACCATATCTTTTGGAGGTAACGATCGAGGTCTCAATTTTAATAACGTACCAAAAGTTACACACATAGGCGCGTATGCACGCACACACCTTTTGTGCTCATGGGAAAAAATATACTTCAGGTAAATCACTCGCCGAGTTTTCATACGGACGCACAAATCGATAAGGATGTGAAGGAAGGTCTGCTGATGAGTACGTTCGAAATGTTAAATTTACAGCAATGCGACAAGAAGAAAATTATTGAAGAAGATAGAAAGCGAGTTAGGGATAGATTGCTTCAGGGAATAAACACAAAGGACGGCAGGTAAATTAATGGAAATGTTCTCGTACCATAATTTGTTTCCGGGTAAAGGGGTAATTCGGATCGTGAATTCGGTACAGTACGAATGATTCGACGGTCGGCACAACGAAGCTTGACAAACCGGAGGAAGACCTGCAGAAGCAATTTAAATGGGAGGACGAGCATATGGGCAATTTCCGCAGAATCTATCCATGTTGCGACAGTGAAAGGTACGAGCCATTCTTTAAACAAAGCAGCATTTCCGTGTATCAAGATACCGCGGCATCCAGAGCTCGGGAAGAAGCGTCAAGGATTCAAAAGGAGGAAAACGAGGTGTTTCATCAGTTTACGTAAAAGTATATTTAACGAACAGCTCGATCCGAAAAGCGCTCATAAAAGCGAATTTTATTGATAGATGAAGATAAAGGAACAAGAAAGCAAGAAGATTTCTGGCAAATGGAGCGATTCGAAATTGCATTCAGAGAGTCCAAACGTAACGCAAAAGTCAACAACGACGCACGATCAGGATAGGAACAAGTGTGCGAATGTATCGAGAAGGAATTCTTCCCATTCGAATGTCGGTTTTTCAAAATAACTAAGTGTCGTAAAGCATTGAATTTTAACGAAATAATTTTCCAAACGTATGTATAGACAAAGAAGCAGGCAATTTCGGCTACTAATACTTCACACTCGTTCGAGCCAGAGATCATTTGCGAATCTGAGGAAAGAGAACGCGTTACGGCATTGGCTCAACGAGATTTCCTGATCAAGAGTTACGGAATGTTGGAGCAAATCTATATGGCAATGAAAAAGAACGGTACGTTGCGAGCTATCGACGAGAAGAAGTACGGATTGTATGGAAAACTCGGGTATGCGGATAGTACGAGCAAGAGCGCGTCTATTTGTAGGCACAAGTGTCATCTTCATCAGCATTCTGGAATGGAAACTAGATACGAACCGTGGACGAGTCAGTCGCCACAATTTTGCCTGAAAGCAAGTAAAGTAGATAATGTTCCATGAAATTAATTAGTTATTATTTGTAAGTTTATATAAATATGTTTTGTTTGTTTTCCATAGGGTAAAGTGCCGGATAATAATTTTCTATTTACGGGTTTAAAAGATAAGAAATTATTATGTGCGAGGTGAGGTATACGTTTGAGTGTCATGAGTACAAAGTACAAAAGCAGTTTCTTCGAATTACAGATTTCAAAGTAATTTGTAACGAGGTGCCGGTTTATATTCGACCGAGGATACCGGAGAAATTTTGGATGGATAATCTAAATTCGAACGATCAAAGCTGTCGAATAACGAAGGCCCACGTGGCCCGTACCTTATCGAATATCGTGCGCCTTCATACACTTGAAAAACGTGGAGAGTTCAACTCGTCGAAATTTTAACAAATGTACGTCGCGATTCATGAATTCAAAAACACAATGAGATTAGATATAAATTTGAAAACGTTTGTATTTTACAATTACTTTTTTTAAGCAATCTCTAACGAGTGATTTGTTAATATCAAACTGTATACTTCATGTTAAAGGAAAAAGATTCCCCATATTTAAAAGTAATAAGTCCAAAGACTAATACGTTAAACTATGAAAATAAATTGTTAATTTGAATCACTTCAAAAAGAGGGATTATTGTAAACTTTAACTATGTTTCGATTAACGGATGGCATTTCGCAAGATATATACAAGAATAATTTAAAAATCAACATATATGGATTTGTTATTTAAAGTGACATATAAATATGTACACACACACGCGCGCGCACAAACACACATACATACACACACACACACACAATGATTGAACATATACACGCTTCGGTAATCGAAATTTTCATCGCACATCTTGATTGTGTATCCTAATAATGACATACGTATATACATGTAACGTGCCTGCAATATGTATAATAATGTTTATCGTTGATGCGATATACATACACGCTATACACACATGTATCTGTGATGTATGCATATATGTATGTAAGCATTCACATGATAAAAAATAATCTATGAACAATTTTGGCGTGTATACCTTTCGATCATAATAACACGTAGACATTTCTTTTTCTATTAATGTGAGACATTGTTGTCAATTTGTATGCCCTGCATTGTTTCTTTTTTTAATTTCTTCCGTTTTCAATAGTTTTTTTTTTTTTTTATCAATGGAACCACAATTTTCAATTAAAAATCAACGATCGATTCGTCGCGACACGTTTCTTGAACGCTTATTCAAAATACAGGAGCGTTAAGATTAATAATGAATGAAAATTCAATTACCAATGTTAGATATTGATCTTGTACAAAGTAATAATACAATAATCATAATAATAGTACTTAATTGATAATAGTCCAGAATAACAATAATGATAATAATAATAAGGTGCTGCATTCAAATCGCGTGTTCAAACGCTCAGGTTTTCCTTAAAACTCAAATAATAATCGAGTCCTTAATTTAGATGTAAAGTGATTGTCTAGGGAAGGAATAGGAGCCATTACCTTCCCCTATCGTCATTACATGTGTCTCGGCAAAAATAAAAAATGACCCGATAAACGCATATAACGCATTCTTGGCTCGATTTAACACGATACAGAAGATATTTACAAATCTGATACAATAAATTGATAAGTATTATAGTCATTATACGCGCGAATTTAATGTCGCTTTGTTACTATCGCTTACCTTCGAAAGAGTGTAAATGACCTATATACATAAATGAATACATACAAATTCGATAAAATTTTACAAATGTTTAAAGAACAACGAAAGAGTCGAATATTTGGATATTTGTGTAATATCGTATTACATAAGCGGTGTCTATTTTCGTGAAATCGTTGATCTATAAATCGTCACGCATTGAGTGTTACGAGAACGTCTCGGTTTTGATGGTAAGATAAAAGGCTGAAAAACAACGAGGTGACAGAATTTGAAGGTAGTATAATGAGACAAACATTCAGACACATAAGAAATGCATTTGCTTTGAACAAATTGTACAGGGATTAAGCTACTGTTAAACATAAGTTAAAGAACTTATTCTTCCCATTTAGACATAAGGTTTCGTTCTTAGGCGTGCGTCATGTTCAGTGATCGCATAACGGTTTCGTTCGCAAACGATACAACTTACGTAAATTACCTCTGAAAAATAGAGCAGCTACTAGTAGTTACTTAAATTACGATTCATTCGTTTGTACTAGAAAACCATTATCTTTGATCCTTCAAATACCTAGCATCGTTCTCGATTGCATGCCCCCTCCCCCTCTCAACCGTCACGTCAAGTAATATTTCTCTTCTCGTTATATGCTTAATCCCCTGCATTCCCATATATAATTTTTCGTAATAGAGAAAAAAAAGCAACGTTAACGCGCGAGATCTTCAGCGTGCCCCCCTCCCCCTCGCTCCTCGTTCCGTCATAACATGACAAAATATAGGATGAAGATATGTGAAGATGGTATTCTATTCGTTGTAATACTAATATGAGCATTATGTAGTTATAGGATCCTGTGTACATTACTCATGTATAATATTTGTTAAAAAGGATTACAATAAAACAAGCTTAAAGCGTGAATTATACGGAGAGAAACTCGAGAGTTAAAGTTTAGAAGAATAACTAGTTAACTCTGCCGTGTATTAGAGATACTAGTTAATCTGAGATATTCTAGAAATCTTCAAAGTCAGTCCTCCGTATAACGCAGGCATCAAGTAGTAAAATGATAACTGGCTATATTTATATACATATATATATATATATTTATATATATATATATTTATATAAATAAAACTATACAATCCGTGGACTTGTTAATTTTACATTAGTTGCCGACGGAATTCAGTTATTCCTTTCCTTTTGCATTACATTAATCATTCACGTCGATAATATATTCAGTTCTTTTTCAATATACTATTATATTAGTACTGACACCAAATGTCTGTGGCAGATATAACAATAAACCTTAACTTGACGAAGAAGAGCGTGAATGTAATATATGTATGCGTGTTCATATGTGTGCACAAATTTATTACTGCAACTAAATACGAGACTTCATTCGATATATATACGAAGTGTCTTGAGTTTAATTCATATTTGTACGAATTTTCTCTTAAGTTACGGCAATTATTGCATCAAGAAAAGACGGATTTGCAGAAAACATAAATGCATCACATATTTTTGACATCATGCTTATCATTATAATTCAATAGTATTGATGTTTCCACATTTTATTCCGTAAGGTTCGTTTACACGGTAATCATTCCTGCATTCCCTGAACACCAAAGTTTCTTATGAATCTGAGTCTTTATGTTTCTGCTTAAATGAACATACGTGATTTGTTCATCGCATGATCTTATATATAATACAGAAAGACCCTGCAAATTATCCATCAAACGAATTCGTGCTGTTTCTTTGTCAAGGTATATGAAGAATCATACAGGTAAAAAATTTATCATTGATAAGTGCCAAATTAAACCCCAGCATAAACCATGGCAAGAAACAATACATGATCTTTGATGGAAAAAAAGAAATTCGACTTTTCAAGCCTCCTTTCTCATCACGTAAACCGTTGATTGATCTTTGTAAACAGATAGAAATATTCTTTATACATGCTGTGTTAAAACTTCTCATTAGTGTTGGTTCTATTTACATTTTGAATATATTCTAAACTATAACACTAAAGTAGCTCGAAAATATATAACTGACCATGGTTTATACCAAAATATTTGAAATATAAAAATACAAGAACCGCAGCACTTTTATTTGTAACATTTGGGAGCAAAAAACGGCGTTTGAGAATAATATATGCTTGAAAGTATTAGCAATACTTATTCTTTACATAGCACACCATTGTCAAACGCATTTTTTAGAAACCTAAAATAATTCGGTAATATTTCAATTGTACGAACGGGTTTATAGAAATTTTTTGTTGTTCTGGTACTTGAAGATAGTCACGAACATTTGTAATCGCGTTATGAGAACAATTTACATCGCTTAAAATTCATATTACTCTGTTCTTAAATAGTTGCTAGATGTGCATTTGCAATATCTCCTTTTTTTTTAAATACCACTTTAATCCTTAATCAACGTAACGAGCCTGATGATAAATGACAATGACATAACTAGAAATAATTGATGAAGTAATACACGTTGTTAATTATTTTTGAATATCAATTATAATTTAGCAGGAACGTTCACCCAAAGCTAAATAAAGTAAACAGAATATATGTATTTGTTTCATTTGCTACTAATATGCAGTTCCAGCAATTTTCGCTGTTTATCACATATATATACGTACATATCTTTCTATTTCATGTATATAGGGTTGCGTATCACGCAAATGGGTGGTGCTATATACATTTTATGATTAGAGATAGAGAAAATATTTTACAAGACAAAATTAGATGGTGTTATGCATAATCATTGAGGCACAAAATACGTAAAAGTACTGTAGCAATATAGAACAGATAGCAATATTTAATTTTGTTCTCTGATAAATTGTTCTATCTCTACTTATTTTAAAGAAATGGTTTCGTTTAGTTGCATGATGCATCTTGTATAATTATTCTTTAATTTTGTATCAAATGCAATTAAAAATAACAGATCAAACGAAGTTTACAGGTGACTGTACAGTTTTTAATACCTATAAATCTTTTTAAAATTTTTATGCTTTCTGGACTCCGATTTCATTTATACTTCACAGTGTTGATTGAAAACGGGTCAGGAATATCAAAAGTTAAAAGATAAATTACTTTGTAAACAGACTTGTAAACAGACTTAAAAATTAATATAACTTTTGAACATATGTCGTTTTTGCCATCTCATTCACCAATACGACTCATAGCAATACCCTAATATTTCAACAAGTTAAAGCTAAGATATTAACAAACAGCGCATGTTTATATTATATGCACGATTTTGCTCGTGCATTAGTGTATGTCGTATGTGTTTATGTGTGTGCAATTACACGCGCACGTGTGCGTGTACAAGGTGTAAACGCTAACAAAGAGTCACTCGTGTGTCGCATATACGACGAGTCAAGAAGTGTTATGGTTTAAATTTAACCAAAGGTATATTTTTCGATTGCAAACACTTATCACACACCCATTCGGCATAAACTTCTGCCGTTAATAATTGATAGGCAGTTTCCGATAATCCTGTGCATCCCCTAAAACAAATTCTTACATATTAAGTATATGTTTCTTTATATGATAATGTATAAAGAAAGAATATAATTTTTTACGTACCTGTGAAACCAAAAATTACAACCGGACTCACAAAGGATCGCTTGATCGTTATCATGCACTTCTTTGTGACATACTCCACAAGGATAAATAGGTGGAGCATTAGGATTTTGTGGGTTAAACACCATTGGCTGATCTGGAGGATATATCTGTAATATTAGAATGATATACATTTAGATGCCATCGTAAATTTATGATGCAATTGTACGATGATATTGATAAATTAATCTACCTTTCCTGCAGAAACTGGCATTGGTTTCGGTCCCATCCCCGGTGGACCTTGAAAACCATGAGGTGGCATGGAACCTCCCATGTTAATAGGATGGCCCATTGGTGGACCTCCACCTAAATTATTAGACATTGTACCCATTGGACCAGCTATGTGACTCATTTGATTATGATGATTAATACTCATATTAGACATGTTATTCATTGGTGGCCCACCCATATTCATATTATTTATTTGATTTGGGCCACTCATATTCATATTATTGGATACCATTGAACTCATGGTAGTCATGGGTCCATTCATGGGCCTTCCTAAGTTATTAAGATTATTTCCCATATGATTTGGATGTGGTTGAGATCCGTTGTGTCCAAGTGGACTGTTTACACTGTTCATAGATGGTCCGTTCAGTGGGCTATTGGGTGGTATATGGCTATTAATATTGTTCATATTCATTGGTCCATTAGGCATATGATTTGATCCCCCCATTGTATTCATAGGAGATCCCAGCGGACCACCCATAGGACTTCCCATACTGTGTCCCATGTTATTCATTGGACTACCCATTGGGCCACTGTTCATATTATTCATTGGACTACCCATAGGTGGGCCGCTAAGTTGAGAATTACCCATGTGACTCATATTCATATGATTGTTCATGGTATTCATCGGACCAGGTGGCATGCTGGGGCCCATATTATTCATTGGACTCATACCACCTATTGGTGCATGATTCATAGGAGACATTGCTCCCATGTGATTCATGTGATTTGTCATGGGCGAATTTCCCATTGGACTCATACTACCCATATTGTGAGGCATCATAGGACTCATTCCACCTATAGAAGTTAAAGGGCTCATGCCTCTCATAGGTGGTCCACTTATATGATGTGGGTGATGAGGATGCATATGAGGCGGTCCACCATGCATCATTGGTGTTTGCGTGGTTTGCGGTGGTGTATCGTCAAAAGGGTTACTTGCTACTATTGTGTCTCCATAGCCAGTTAAAGGTGGAGGTAGTAAATCCTGAAAATATTTTTAGGGTATAATAAAATGATGAACTATAACGATTATTAATGGTATGCTGATCAATTATAGCGTAAAGAGTTACCTGTACTATTGGAGGTTGTTGCGGAGATGGTTGAGCAACATTTGCATTTGTACGTCGTTTCTTTTTTGGATTGGCACCAGACGGTGGCGGTGGTGGAGGATGAGGGTGAGCAGAAGATTCAGGATGTGGGCCACTAGGACCCATATTCACACCCATACCCATACCCCCCAAAGGCATCCTTGCAAAGGGTGGCATGCCTGCAATATTGTGGCTCATCTCCCTCGTTGGCTTGCCTTATTTTAACATGCCTTATCAGCACCACAATAGATTTTGATGATAAGTCTTTACTACTGCTCCACTAGTATTTTTAATTAAAGAAATACTATGTTTTATTTTATGTTTTACAATTATAACAAGTAAACTTAGAATATATATTGTTTATGTCAAGAACACTTAGCTTCTCAATTCATGAAAGATCAAAATTTGTACAATTGTTAATTGAGATAAATTATAAAGTAAATTATAAAATAAATACTTATATGTGACATTATTTGAATATGATATAAATCTGACTGAAATTTCAGCATCTACATCCATTATATTGTAATTTAATTCAGTGGGTAATTTTATGAAATTTAATGGTTCTTGTAATTTAATGGGTATAGTATGCACACATTTCTTGAAGATATATTTATAATCTTACATTCTTAAGTGTATACATTCAGGTAAATACATGTATAATCGCAAGTTGCTATACTTTGTATATTGGTATAAATACAGAATATTTCAATATGTTTTGTTTAAATAACCATCATTCGAATAAAAATAATACATGACATTGAACGACAACACGTTTAAAGCGATAAAAGTAATGTAAAAAAAGTAGACAATCTTTTAAAAAGAAAACAAAATAAAATCCGCCGATGCCAGTTTCTCAGGCCAACCTAACCTACACATTTTTCTAAATCATTTAGTACGTTTAGCAATACATAAGAGATGTGCGGTCGAAAATAAACGGCAGTTGTAAAGAATAAAAATAATTCGCATATTTACCAACGCATTATATTCGGCAAGATATCGTTGTATACATGGCTTTCCCGTTTTTTCGGCAGAGACTAACACCATTGAATTATGTCGTGCGCCTAGCTAGCTTCAACGGCTGAATCCGCGCAGTTACTCGTTTTTAATGGTTCCTCTTCACCAGTCACATATTTTATGCTAGCACGAATATGTTTCACATTCACGAACATGCAGAAGGAGTACGGTAAACACTGGCGAGATGTCAGAAGTATATGGAGCAAGGAAGCGCACGCCAATGTTTCAGGTCGCCATTGTCGCGTTACGCGTGTCCCTGTGGTTGTATTGTTCGCGTAAGAATATTGCACAGTGTATTCCGCAGATGGCGGTACTAGCTGCATTCCTGAAACATCAAGACAATCAACATATTAAGGCAGCTTCGTATTATCGCGAAGCTTTCTTTTAATCTATCTAAGAAACTATATTGGTTATTAACACTGGTGAATACTAGTTGCGTGGATCCAATGCGCGAATGTTTCTTTCGAAATCATTCCCTATTCAATCATATTGAAGGTGTTTTTAACCAAAGAAAATTTATTTCCCAAGAAATGTGAAATCTACAAAAATGAATCGTTCGGTCGTAATTTGTCGTGCTGAGTACACGCACGTTATATGATAGAATGAATAGGATGAATATGAAGAAAAAGCTTCTGTGATTAACTTCTGAGCGAAACGTTCACAGTTCAAGGCAGAAGTTTGAGAACAGAAGGAAGTTCCTTCAAGATGGAGCAGTTTAGTATAAAACATACGTTACTTTGACGACGCTATTACCTGTGCTTGAAATTCTCCTTCTCTTCTTCTCCCTTTCTCTCTCTCTCTCTCTTTCTCTCTCACTCTCTTTCTCTCTCTCTCCCTCTCTCACACGGTAGTTTCACGCGTTATATCTTCCATTCGCATTAGGATCCAGGAGTTGTCCCTGTAACCTCAGAGTAGGGCCTGTACACGTCACTTTAATTATTTGAGTTACATTAGCAAGTTAGTGGGGTTTAACAACTGGAAAATGGGTTTCGCGCATATCTACCGCGGACAGTTGCTTCGTAGTTACTCGTGATATAGTTCACGAAACTGCAATAAAAATATCTTATCTTTCTTGAATTTTATTTCGGTAAGAATTCATATGGACAAACTGGATGAACCGCGTCATTATTAACACGGAGAACGGTAAATCACTGTCAACTAAGTAAAAGTGAAACTCAAGTATCATTTGGAACTGAGAGTTTCTCTTTATACTCTAACATATTCCCGCGTATTGTTCATGAACATTAAGCAGAATAGACATATGTATATGTGACCCTTGATAAAAAGAAGCGTAAGTCTTTATCGATGTCTTAAGTAGGGCGCCGTTAACACGTTAACCATTTATTATAATGATACACATATCGGTAATAGTATAATCTTATAATATCAAAAAATATATTGATCGTTTTATTATTTTTTATAATATTATAATATTGATAGTTTATTATATGTTTATAATTGTTTAACCATTTAAGATTTACCTCGAGCCAAGAACGGTGTTATTTATTAGAAGTGATCGGAGGAATATCGATCATGAGTCCAGGACAAGAAGGATCATGACAGTTCTCGTGAGAAAAATGCAGAGAAAACGTTGAAAGAAGAATGGTAGGATTACAAAGCAAAGGGAAATAGAAAATACAAAAGAAAAGGGAAAGGACGAAGGACAAAGGATCGAAGATCAGATGGTCGCGAGATGTGGCAATCGAAGAACAATGTAAATGGATTCTACAAATAGCGGCATTTCCCAAACAAATACGGCATGCCAATCAATCTGCCGTGCGCAGACGCGTGTGCTGAATAAGTACGAGCGATTATATTTTCGCGAATTATAGAGAACCGCAGTTACCGATGAACATCTCATCAAAAGAACGCATCGAAACGTCTTAGTCGTGATCAGACCTTTCAATGTTTTGCTCGCATGTTCGTGCTCCATCTCTATTGCGATTCGCCTCTACATCATTATAAAGTACTTACACCGCCATTCATAAATACTCCAATAGCATGATCGATTTGTAGTAACAGCGTGCAATTTTTCTTACGTCCTTTATGGAATCGTTGTACTGCAACGATTTAAATTATCCTTTAAAAAACATAGTAGCGATATATTTTTCTGCTTTTTATTACATAAATCAATGTCAATGGAGGCTATAAAGAATAAAAGAATGCATTTTTGCAATTAAAATTATACTTGCAATAGCATTTATAATTTTACATACATTTTATCAAAAATAAGCAGATGTGCAGATACTTTTGAACGCTACTACGCTAGAATACTATACACATCGTTTTCCTTGGAATGTTCATGATCGCAAACTTCGTCACGCGTCGCGTAATGCATGAAAACATCCTAATAGAAATCATCCTTGACCCAATGCTCTCTCGCTCGTCGAGACCCAATTTTATTATTATCGTAGAAGATTTACATCGTATGTTACTCACCTCGCGTCAGCAAGATGATTTGAATCGGTGATACGAGTTGTTCAGATCCGTATCAATTTTAGAATCTATCGTATATTTCAAGGAATAAACGGAATCCATTGGTTGGTCGGCGAAGTGCATCGAATACAAAGATCGGTATCGAACAGATATTTCGACGGAGCAATTTTTGTCCATCGCGTTAGAGGTCCGGCAATAAAGTGGGAGCGCGATCGAGCGAAATTACAGTGGCGATTGTTCAAACTGACAGGTACAAGGCGAGCATTGCGGCTTGATGCGGGGCCGATTTTTACGCGTCATCGTTCCGTGTCAGTGTCCATACTGTCCATCGACCGCGTTCGATTGCGTTTCTGAAAGCATAGTAAAATATGTCCCCCTCCCCCCCGTGATTTCGTTCAATATCGCTACTGAAAGTTGCAAAGAATCAAAATTGCTCGAACCGTGATCGTAACCAGTTTATACTCAATGTTAATTCGTTTTTCGTCACTTATAACTTGTAACAGTTATACGCTTGTTTTCTCGAGATGCACGGCTATAAATAAGCGAGTTGCTTCCAGGAAACCAGCATTCTATCGCTTATTCAGCGTCACAGAGATTCAGGCTTTTCCTACTTTCTCTCGCAGGCCAGCAGTTAGTGTATATACGCGTGTTCGACGGACCGTGACGCGTTCCAGCATACTTTCATCTTGGGATTTCTACTTTGGCAATGTTTGATATTGCGTCAAAAACGTCCAATCAAAGCATCCAGCTGAGAGACGTAGTTCTACGTTTGACACCAACCGCTGTTCTCCACGGTTCCTGAAGCCACTCGCGTGCACGCGAATTTTTTAAATAATAGTTGGAATCGGGACAGACGGAAAATGAAAGAACGTTTTACTTTAGTAACATATATTTTGCTTTTAATATTTAATGTATGCTATATATACATACATATTTGTCATAAATGCATACATAAATATCTGCAGTCTAGTTATGATATATAGATACGAAGAAAAAATTGACGTATAAAATATGAAACAAAACTTTGATAATACCGCTGGGGAATTCGCGTCTACTATAATCGTAGCTTTATTCTATCAACGACGCTCGTTCCGTTTCGACGAACTGATCAGTGACCGGGGACATATAGCATCAGAAAATTTTCACGCGCCATCGCCAACCGACCTAGATATGTGCTCGATTTTAAGCTCCAGGCTTCGTGAAATTTATTAAACACGCTTGCATTATCGACTTTCTTTATTCTCGTCGTTTAATAATAATTGGAAAATTAGGAGGTTGCCTGGAAAGTAAGGGTTTCACGCAACATTTGAGCTCGGCGACGCGGCACGTAGAGCGGTCGGACACGTTGATATTCCTGCTTATTCGCTCGAAACGAAGCGAATTCCACGCACACGCCACACTACCGTAATTTCACCTGTAACAACGACCACGAAGAGAACGACGCGCGACATTACGTCGTCGTTTCCTGCCTCAGCCACGCACAGGCTACGGCGATACGAGAGAAAGTGAACAAACAGCGAACCGCTTAAAGTTCCCGCGATTCAAACGAAATCAACGTAATTCCAGTGGAGTAGAAGGAGAAAAGAACGACCGTAAAACGAAATTTATATTCATAGCCGTTCACTTGAACATTTTCATCGCTTTCTGCGTATACTCTATCGCGTCTTTTGTCGCGTTTACGTAGGAAAAAAGCTATTCTTAGCGTCTGCGCGTAATTTATCTAATGATATGATTCGTTTCCATTTGTTTCTCAATTGATTACTATCTAATTTCCCTTACGAAATTCGAGCAACTTGCAAATATGTGTCAGAAGCGAAATCGCTTATACTTTCTCGATACTAGTCGCTTGGTATTCCACGGTCACAAGACGAATTATGAAAGAAGATAAAAATTTATTGCACGATGATATCGATAGATAACTCAGGAACCAACAGAACTTCTGTATCTATCTAAATAATTGTCTGCGCGCGATTCGCGGTTGATCAATCAGATGGAAGATTTATTTGTCAGTTAAGGATACATGGTTTGCCAGAATTGGCGAATACGCGTGTCCTTCCAAAGTGACGGGACTGCTGAATTTCGTCGTGAATTCCAGTTGGCGTTAGGTAGTGCGTGACCTCCGGAAACTTGGTACTTAACGTACGATGTCCAGCCGTTTCGGATCGCTGAATCGTTCTCACGTTTCGAGCAGACTCCGGCAGAGATGTTTCGCGTTATCCTCTCCTCTTGAAACGCGTTCGTTTCGTTTTTCTTTTTCGGCGAGCGAAACGGGAACCGAAAGACTAACAGATCCATTATGATTTTAAAGTGTCTAGCGCGGAACGGCGAGATAAATTTGCCGCGGAACGAAATCAGCCAACGAGGAATCACGATACGTGACTCTCAGGACAATGAGCCATATCAATCCTTCGTCTCTCTATTCTCCTTCGGCTGGTCGCACGGCGAATTCGTTTCGTTCGACCGATGGAATCGAATCGCCTCGAAAACGATCCGCCTATTCAAACGGCACTCGACAACGAATCACCGAAAAGAGGAAAAAGAAGGGACGAGGCCAATGACAGAGAGGTGACTCGCAGGGATGAAAAAAGAAAAGGAGAAGAAGAAATAAAAATAGGGAAGAAAAAAGGGACGCGAGAGAGCGTGGGAGGATCGGGTGGGGGCGACGCGCGTCGACCAGAAATTCTCTCGACGCCGCAAAAGCTTGGAACCTCGATACCTCGTTCGATCGAAAGTAGATCGACGAATGAATCCTGCCCGTGTAATCTTTATCGATACAAGGCACAATCTCCCCTCCCGGTCGCTGCGTTTCGTATCGCCCTGGATCGTTTCGTATCGCTTCGTA